AGCGGCAACCTAACTCTCGACCGCAACGCCGCGATCTCTCATGCCTCGGGATACCGAGAATAAGGCGCATGTGAAGTTCAGGTGGGGCGAACCATCTCCTGGCGGCGCCGTCGAAAGACCAGCCGCTGCAGGTGTGAAACTTTGTCCGCTGCGAGACGCCCCCCGACGCGGAAGGTCGCCCTGAAACAAGCATCCGGCAACCCTCCAGCTCGACGCGCCTGCGGGCGAAGTTGCATACTCCAAGCCCTGCCGACCGAAGTGCGACTCCATGGCGCGGGCCCACCGGCGCGCCCTGGATAGAGCGCGCCGACTTCGCGGAAGGAAGGGGGGCGTCGCTCAGGGAGGGGAAATCGCAGCAGGAGTCATTGCGCGCGAATGCGCCACCGCGCAAGTGCCGAGGAACCCTGCTCTCAAGAAAGGTGTGGCAACGAAGGCGCTCCGACTCGATGTTCCAATCGCCAGCGACAACGAAGGGAAATCACGAAGGAAGAAGCGCCTGAAGAAGCGAGGCGAGCAGTTCGGCATTACCTGCCTGGCTCCAGACGCCGTGAATGGAAGCGAAGGGCACCTGCATGATGCCGAGCATAACGCGCTGGAAGAACAGCCTGGACTTGCAGTGCCCCTGCTTCGGCTCATAGGCGCTAGCCGCCAACGCAATCGAGCTGGCAACGCCGACCGCGCTGGAGGTGGCATTGCTACCCGCGCAGGGCCTGCTTGAGCTGCCCTCGGAAGATGAGCCTGCGCACCTGGAGGGAAAAAATTATGGCAGACTTTGTCGTGCTCGTGAAAGAACTGCTCCGTCGACCACGCGTTGCCGTTGTAGGCCAGCGCGAACTCGCTGGCGCCCTCGGTCCGCCCTGTCCGGCTGGGCGGCGCGCCGCCCGTTGCCCGCCGCGGCGAGGCCGCGGCCGGCGATGCCGAGGTGGTGGCAGGAGGTGGGCTCAACGGCCAGGGCGGCGTGGTGGCGCCGGGCACGGCGAGCGACTCCAACGGCTCCTTGGCGCCGTTCAGCTCCGCTCCGTCGGCGCACTCGCACAGGCGCAACTCCGCGCGGCAGGGCCTGGCCGGCCCCTCGCGCGCGACTGGCCGCGCAGCCACTGACTGCGACAAGGCAGGCCTCGAAGGCAGCGGCGCACTCGGCGCGGCCCCCAACGCTCGCCGAGCGCGCCGGCCATAACGAAATCGACGCACGCACGGCGCGTGGGTGCTCGCGCCCTCCAGCGATGAACCTGGGAGGGAGACCCCCCCCGCGGCCCCCCGCGCCGCCGCCGCGCGACGCGGGGCGCGCGGGGGGCTGCGAGCCTCCGCTATCTCAGGCTGCCCCCATCGCGCCCCGCGGCGCAGCGCACGACAGAAAAGACGCCGCAGCCCGCGGACTCGATCGCGCCCTCCTGCAACGCGCGCTGGGCGAGAAAGCCCGCGGCAAACTGGATGCCGCATCGAAAGAGCCGGCGCAAGCCTCGCGAGAGAAATCGAACTTGGCGTCCGAGAGCGAACGTGCTGGATGAAGGGCAGAAGCCCCGAAACCTACTCCCCAGTCCGCGTCGCTGACCTGATTCCTGAAACGGGCCAACTGCTGGGCCCATGGAAAAGGAGTGCAGCGTCTCATTGTAGCGCGACCCCCCGCTGCAAAACCGAACTGCCCAGAGCGGGAAGGGCTCAGTGGGGCGAGTGAAGAGCCGACCTAGCAGACAGGATAGCACGATCGCCATGCTTCGCCAGGGCCTTCGTTTCGGCCGTGACCACATCGTCGCACATGTCGTCTGAGACGAACTCCGAAAAGGACTCGCGCACCTTCTCGATGCCGTCCTTCTCGGGGTCCCACTGCTCCAGGTTCGCAATCTTCGCGGGCGGCTCGTCGCAGGCGTCGTCCTGCGAGCCGGCGGCAGCTCCCTCGCTAGAAGGGCCGCCAGTAGGGGTAGCAGGAGCTGGAGGGCCGCCAGGCGCAGCAGCGGCAGCCAGTTCCTCGAGGAGCCGCCGAGCCACGGCTTGTGGATGGCGCCCAGCAGCTCGACCAAAGCTGACGAGTCCAAGTTGGCTTCAGGCTGCCGGCGCGTCGCTGGGACCTCGGGCGGAGAGGTTGCGAGCCGCTGCAGCTCAGCCTCAGGGTTGGCGTAGCCCGGCTTCTTAATCTCAAGCGTATGCTCGGCCAACCGCGCCGCCTCGATGACCTCCTTGAAAACCTCCTGCAGCTTTGACAAGACCAAGGTGGTCTTGACCCGTGCCTTCCTTGAAGCCGCCACCCGGACGTGACATAGCGTTGAGCTTGGCTGGCAACGGCTTCTTGTCATCGAGGAGCTTGCGTTGGGACTCCATCTGCGCGCGGACCCTCTTGGTTTGCCCCGATGCTCAGCCGCTGGTCATCGGCTCGAGCAACTTGAAATGTTATTTTCTTGAGCTCCTCGCGGATCTGTTCGTCATCACCAGGCTCGTCTCCAGGTTCGGACGTATCCCGTGATCCTGCGCCCGCCTTCTGACGCAAGGCATTGCTTTCTTTGGTGAGCTGGTCAAACTTGCGTAGCAACTCGAAGGAGGACGTGTCCGACGGGCGACCCCGCTTGGACGGCTCCTTGGGCGGCGTGACACACTTGAAGGTCACTGACTTTTGCAATTGAAGCATGTAGCAACTGTTGCCCCAAGTGATGAGAGGACTTGCGCATCCAGTCTGGCTTCCCCGAGGCCCACGGGGCAGGCGCCATGAACCCGTGGCGACTGTGGCGGCGCGCGAAGCACAGCCGAGAGCCTGATGTGGAGGGGCCCAAAATCCCCCCGCGAAGGCGCAAAAAACGTTGATCTGGCCGCGGGCTAACGGTATCCGTTTAAGCCCCAAGGAAGCCCGGCATCTTGAGCCAAAATAGCTACGGAGGAGCAGGAGGAGGAGGAGGAGGTGGCGGTGCAAAACAAGCCCACCAACGCGCGCTGATCCTCGAACGCTCTCCTCAGGACAACGATTCTCTTCGACGCCAGCATATCTTCACGATTTGGGTCCCCCCGAGCTTTCAGCACCTGGGAAGCGGACGGGGGGGCCTGCGCTGGAGGAGCCTGGGGCAACTTTGCCAAGAGGAGGTGGAAGAGGGCAAATCCTGGGGAGACCAGAAGGTACCCATACCGCTACATCCGAGACCTCTCCTGGGGTGCGTTCTGACTAATTTCGAGGCGTATCCAGCGGTGACGACGAGAGCCTCACAGGAGACCGAAAAAGGGGAAAACGAGGGAAGGGTAGAGGTAGGGGTGCCTTTGCCCTCTCTGAGATCCGCTCAAAATCGGTTCGCGGGACCCTCCCGGAGGTCGAGACTGCCGAGCTTCTCGAGCCGCGCCCAGCCTTTGGCGCCCGACGGTCGGGCGGGCCTCCCCGAGCACCGCCCTCTCGCGGCGTCCAGGCCCACTATGTGTCCGCCATGGCACCGCCAGGCCTCGGCCCCCCGCATCTCCATGGACTGCGGCCATGGCTCGGCCAACTCCACCTCCTCCTCCTCCTCCTCCACCTCCTCGTCCTCCTCCACCTCCTCCTCCTCCTCCTCCTCCTCCTCCTCCTCCTCCTCCTCCTCCTCCTCCTCCTCCCCCCCATTCCTGCTGGCCGGAGCTGGCGCTGGGCCACCTCAGCTCCCAAGCCGGCTCCGACCTGGGGCTGTGCCTAGCCCCTAGTCCTCATCCCCGAAGCTCGGGGGTGAGGGCTATGTGTGCGGCCGCGGATGTGAGGAGGGGGGATAGGCACAGGGGGGGACACATTGACATGGAATCGGCGATACATCGCCGATCGATCGGCGACAGGCCCCCGATATTGAATCCGCACGTTCCTTTGCAGGCTCTCTCCTTCCTAGACAAAGGCGACAGATGGGGGGCAAGAACGGTGCCCTTTTCGGGTCCAAAGGCCCGCTCTGGGCTCCTTTTCTGCAGCCCTCGCCGCCCCACCATTTGTATCACCCCACCTTTAAGCAACGCCCACAAGCAGAGGGAGCCATGAAAACTGGGGCCATTTCCTGGCCCCGGCCATCCCAAACATCTGACGCTCCCATGCTGTCGATGCGTGGGCCGCCCGGGCCGCGTTCTCGTCGTGAACCGCTTGTGACGGTCCTGGGGCCCAGCGCGGGCCCCCAGAGGCCGAAAACGGCCAAGAGCCCGGCCGCTCCCATGTTTTCGAAGCCTCAGTGATATCCCCACCCATCGCCCCCCTCTTGGGCGTGCAAGGAGGAGAGTCTACTGTGGCAACTCGTGGGGACCTTCCATACCATACCATCTTGTTAGCTCTTGCGAATCGACGCTAGTCGACGCTAGATCGACGCTCTCTCTTCGGTTACCAGACGCTAATCGACGCCAGCGCACCTTAAAGACAAACTTGCGACGGTACGCAAGGCTCCCATAATTTTCGATGGCGAGCGAGGGGGGCAATGAGAAGGATAATGCCTTCTCGGAAGGCAGCGGGACTTCTCAGAATCCCTCGCGCCTTCTGAGAAATTCATTGTGTCTTCGGGGACGGCTTGGACAACTTCTCGGAAGGCTCGAGGTCTTCCGAACCTTCTGAGGAGTCCCGCCCCTTCTCACTTCGCCCCCGGGCTCGCCGCCGAGATTTGCTACCAAACGAGTCCGGGGATGACCAAAAGGTATCATGCTCCTACCCCCCGGACCTCTCCCGGGGCGTGCTCTGACCAGGACGTCGAGGCGAATCCAGCGGTGGCGGCGAGGGCCTCCCAGGAGGCCCAAGAAGGGGAAAAATGGGCGAAGGGTAGCGGTATGGGTACCCATCGGTCGGAAGAAGTAGGTAGAAAAATTAAGTAGGAAGGCGTTGAAAATAGATTGGGTTCCGTCCGCCCCCTAAGGAGGACGGAAAAGGTGAGGTGAAGCCACTCGATCATTGAAGTAGGAGGGCGCCTACAATAGATTGGGGCTTGGGCATCCGCATATACATACTCTCAACGACCGACGTGTCTTCCTCCTCCTCCGGAGATCTGCCACCGAGCGAGTCCTGTGCATGAACGGCTGGAGGTGCTCTGGGGTCTGCTTCAGCAGGGCCTCCTGCCCGGGGGGGGGGGGGGGGGGCGGGCCCACCCCGAGGGAGCGGAGGCGGCCTCGCTGGCACTTCGCCGCTCTCGGCACACGCCTCACGCGCCTCGTGGTCCCATAGGGGGGCTCCACCGAAGGCCCCAGTGGCAAGGTTCGCATGGCGCCACCGCGCCCATGTCGGCACACCCCTCACACGTTTCGAGGCCACATAGGAAGCTCTGCCGAAGGCCCCAGTGACAAGGTTCGCATGGCGCCACCGCGCCCATGTCAGCACACCTCTCACATGTTTCGTGCCCCATACGGAGCTCCACCGAAGGCCCCAGTGGCAGGGTTCGCATGGCGCCACCGCGGCAGTTTCGGTACACACCTCACACGCTTCGTGGCCTCATAGGGATCTCCACCGAAGGCCCCAGTGGCAGGGCCCATTTCGGCACACCCCTTTCACGCTTCGTGGCCCCATAGCGAGCTCGACCGAAGGCCACAATGGCAAGGTTCGCATGGCGCCACCGCGCCCATTTCGGCACACGCCTCACACGTTTCAAGGCCACATGGGGAGCTCCGCGGAAGGCCCCAGTGGCAAGGTTCGCATGGCGCCACCGCGCCCATGTCGGCACACCCCTCACACGTTTCGAGGCCACATAGGAAGCTCCGCCGAAGGCCCCAGTGGCAAGGTTCGCATGGCGCCACCGCGCCCATGTCGGCACACCTCTCACATGTTTCGTGCCCCATACGGAGCTCCACCGAAGGCCCCAGTGGCAGGGTTCGCATGGCGCCACCGCGGCAGTTTCGGTACACACCTCACACGCTTCGTGGCCTCATAGGGATCTCCACCGAAGGCCCCAGTGGCAGGGCCCATTTCGGCACACCCCTTTCACGCTTCGTGGCCCCATAGCGAGCTCGACCGAAGGCCACAATGGCAAGGTTCGCATGGCGCCACCGCGCCCATGTCGGCACACCCCTCACACGTTTCGAGGCCACATAGGAAGCTCCGCCGAAGGCCCCAGTGGCAAGGTTCGCATGGCGCCACCGCGCCCATGTCGGCACACCTCTCACATGTTTCGTGCCCCATACAGAGCTCCACCGAAGGCTCCAGTGGCAGGGTTCGCATGGCGCCACCGCGCCAGTTTCGGTACATACCTCACACGTTTCGTGGCCTTATAGGGAGCTCCACCGAAGGCCCCAGTGGCAGGGCCCATTTCGGCACACCCTTTTCACGTTTCGTGGCCCCATGGGGAGCTCCACCGAAGGCCACAATGGCAGGGTTCGCATGGCGCAACCGCGCCCATTTCGGCACACGCCTCACACGTTTCGAGGCCACATGGGGAGCTCCACCGAAGGCCCCAGTGGCAGGGTTCGCATGGCGCCACCGCGCCCATGTCGGCACACCCCTCACACGCTTCGTGACCCCATACGGAGCTCCACCGAAAGCCACAATGTCAGGGCCCATTTCGTCACACCCCTTTCACGTCTCGCGGCCCCATAAGGAGTTCCATCGAAGGCCAAAGCGGCAGGGTTCGCATGGCGCCACCGCACCTCCGCCGGCACACCTCTCACACGTTTCGGTGGCCACATGGGGAGCTCCAGCGGAGGCCCCAGTGGCGGGGTTCGCATGGCGCCACCGCGCCCATGTCGGCACACGATTCGGGGCCCCATAGTGAGCTACACCGAGGGCCCCAGTGGCTCTCCGAGGTCAGCTTTCCCTTCAACAGAGATCGCCAGCGAAGAACACATTCACACTTGAGGCTCTCACACCGGCATTTGGTTGGGTCCTTCGCCAGGGGAATTCTACAAGGAAGCGTGCCACCCTCTACTGGGGCAAGTGCCAGCTCCGGCGCGTCTGCAAGCAAGGCCCGTGCGGTTTGCACTCAGGCAAACCTATTGGGAACGGCCAGTCTTATCGGTCGCCGTCTCGGCACTCGACACGCGGGAGGACGAGGAAGAGCAGCAGCTGCAACCTGGAGGCTCGGCGGCTTCTTGATTAAGGAGGAATGCGTGGCCAACAAGAGGATAGGGAAACTGGTGGATGCAACGCCGACCTCGCAACATACTTTGCTAGATAATCTACAAGTGCTTCAAATTCGACGGGCGAGCACTCATGACTGCCACGTCAAGGAGCTGAGCGCAGGAACGCCGACAACATCCTTGCCCTCCCAAATAAAGAGGCCGCGCGTCCGGGTTCCGCCAAGTCAGCAGGACTTGCACGAAAATGGCACGGACAGCGGATCTCGCACGGTCACCCTGGCGCTCAACGAACCGCGGTACAGCCAGTAGTCGACACAGGGACTGGGCCAACGACGAGACGAACTAACGAAAGCGCCAACCAGAAGCTGTGCTCGATTCGTACACAAGTGGCTGAACGTTACATCAACATTGATCGGGGATTAAATATAAACAGAGTGCAGATTGCTAGTGCCCGCGAACGGTGCGCTGGACACTGCGGCGCGTAGTCAAATCATACATTGGAGACCCATGCCAAGAAACGCCCTGCTTGCCTCCAGGGTGCCCTCGGTTTTTCTTCGTTTTCGATGGTCTTGCTATGGAAAGCGTGACGCCCCCACACCAAAAATCCATGGACACCCTGGTGCGACAAGGTTGGGCTCCCTGTGGAAGGCTTCTTGTGCACTGGCCTCCACTGCACTTCGACATCCTGTGGCTAATACTTTCGACATTTCTGTAGGGCAATCTGGACCCGGGAAGACCTCCGCGGGCCGCGGAGGCCTCGCGATGCCCGTGGGGACCTCCAGAGACGCCTGGGGGCCTCCTCATCCTCCTCTTCCTGCTCCTCTGGCCATCGCTCGGACGCCCATTCCTTGTGTTTTTTTCGGTTTCGTGCGTGGTTTTGTCGCCAAATGATCAAGGATGCGCATCGATGGTCCTCGCCGAAGGAAAAATGCACACGTCCGAGCGATGCCAAGTCCTTGACCCTCGGGAAAACCGCACACCTTCCGAGGTTGGGGAACGAAGACTGCCATCAACACAAAAACTCGGAGGTCCGCGCGGATTTCTCGGAACCGCGCCGGACCCCCCTGGAGGCGCCTCCGACGCCGCCCATGGCGCGCACCGCGCGCAAGGGAGGGGGGTCCAGCGCCGATCCGAGAAATCTGCGCGGACCTCCGAGTTTTTATGTTCTTGTCATTCTTCGTTCCCCTATGGAAGCCGCACACCGCCCCCCGGGGCGCGCCTTGACTGGAATTCCAGAGGGAAGCGTGGCTGGTCCGCCGAGTAACCCGACGGAGGCCGACAAAGCACGCTAAAGACATGGACACAGGATAATGGCTTAAGACTTACAATATTTCAGGGTTCAGTCTAACGCTTGATTTAACCCATTCAAAATCAAAAAATCGCTCCTGGCCTCGCCATGTGAGACATCATCAGAAAACGGCGGCTGGCTGGCTGGTTGGTTGATTGGCCAGTTGGTTGGCTTTTTGGTCGGCCAGTCGGCTTTGGTTGGTGGGCTGGCCAGATGGTTGGTTGGTTGGCTGGCTGGTCAGTTGACCCGATGGGTTGCTCGCTGGTCAGTCTGTCGACTGGTCGGTTGGCCTGTTGCTCAATTGGTGGGTTGGTTGGCTTATCGGCCGGTCGCCCAGCCGCCCGCCCGCGCGCGCGCGCACGCCCTTCCGCCCGCCGACCCGCTCGTCCGCGCGCCCGCCTGCACGCCTGCCCGCCCGCGCGACCGCCTGTCCGCGCGCCCGCCCGCCCGCCCGCCCGCCCGCCCGCCGGCACGCGCGCGCGTGCCCGCCCGCCGGGATGAGGACGAAGACGAGGAGGACGACAAAGATGACGGTGACGAAAACGGCGACGACGACAACGACCATGATGACGACGACGACGACGACGACGACGACGACGACGACAAAGACGAGAACAACGACGAGGACGACGAGGACGACGATGAGAACGACGACGAGGACCGCCAAACACCATCGGATTCCTGAGGAACCCTGATGAAATCCAGAAAGGAATCCATCGGAATCCTTAGCGATCCAATAAGAATCTGGAGAAAATCCGTCAGACATCCTCTGGAATCCACTTTTAATCTTCAGGATGTTTAGAAATTCGACCGGAGCCCTTAGGACATCCAGACAGGAACTCCTTAGGAATTCTGTGGGAAATCCTAGCGCAATCCTTGAGAAATCTTTCATGGTTCCTTGGGACATCCTTCGGAACTCCTGAACAATCCTTGGTGTACTCGTCACTACTATAGTAGACTAGTCGCCATCCTCACATTCCCCCTCCTCTTGGGCCTGCTCATCGTCATCATCCTCATCATCATCCCCTCCTTCTCCCTCTGCTCACCCTCATCCTTAGTATGTTCACCCTGCCCCCGTCATCCCGCTCATCATCAACCTCATCATCTTTTCCCCCCCTTTCCTGAACATCCTCGTCCAAATAGTCATCATCATATCCCTAGTGCTCCTCGTCCTCCTCTGGGTCATCCTCCTGCTCATCATTAGTATCCTCATGATCTTTCCCTCTTCCTTCTGCGTACCCTCCAGGAAGTTGTCGGCTGAGACTCCATTCGGCGCACCCCGCAGGTACTTTGTGCTTCCTGGCCTTACACCTGCGTTCGGCTCATGCTAAAGATTGCTGAGTGGATCTCTCATTCGGCGCGCATCCCTCGTATTTTGCACACCGATCACGTATGTTTTGCCCTTTGGCTTCCCGGAGGCTTTGAATTGGCCTCACACTTAAAACTGGCCAAAGAACCGAAACAGAGCAGTCCGCCCCAGTCTTCACATGGCCACACGACAGCGCGGGACACAATAATGAGCTTCCTTCAACTGGCCCCCCATGGGTGCGACGCAACATAACAATGCCAATCTTCTCGTCACATGACGGCCTCGGGGCACTCAGCAACAACACCTGTTCTGCACTACTCGTCATGTGGCAACACAGGCGGGTGCTCACACACATACGATTCCGCTTCACTCGTCACGCTGGAATGCAGAAGAGGCGGGCAACCTGCTTTTCAACTGTGGCCGTGGGCTCTAAATCCGGCTGCCTGGCAAAAACCACGAAGGCGACGATGGCGACTGGCGGGCTGATCCCAACGGACGGGTCGAGTGCGCGGGTCACGGGCGGGTCTGGCAGGCGGACCCTGGCGGGTGGGTCGGGCATGTCGTGCGGGCAGGAGCTGACAGGCGGGCGGGTCGGGTCGGCTGAGATATAACAGCAGTGTGCCATCAATCCAGGGAGGCATCCACGAGGGTGACGACGACGATGGTGACGGCGACGAGGGCATCGTCCCAGACGACGGGGGCGACGAAGACGGGGGCGACGAAGACAACGCGGACGACGACGAGGACGGTGACGACGACGAGGGCGACGACGCCGCGGGCGACGACGACGATGACCGCGACGACGAGGACGACAACAGCAACGAGGAGGGCAACAACAACGACGACGATGAGGGCGACGACTGTGACGACAATCCTGTTGGCGGTTCGGTCGGGCGGACCCTGACGGGCGTGTCGGGCGGGCGGGTCGGGTCGGGGTGACCCTGTAGGGCGAGCCGGGCGGAATCCTCACTGGCGAGTCGAGACGGACTGGGCGACGACGAGAGCGAGGGTGACGACGACGTGGGAGACGACAGCAACGGTGGCGTGGGCGACGATCACGACGAGGACGACGGCGGCGACAAAGACGACGACGATATCGACGACGAGTGCGACGAAGCCGACGCCGACGAGGACGGCGACGCCGACGAAGGCGACAACGAAGAAGACGAGGACCGCGACGATGGCGACGACAACCCAAGAGGGGCGGGCCGGGGGGCGGACACTGACTGGTGGCTGGCGGGCGGACCCTTGCGGGCGGGTCGGGCGTGTGGACCCCAACGGGCTGGTCGGGCGGGCCAGTACTGTGATGTGCAAGTCACCCAGCGAACAGCATCGTGGGCGGCGACAACGGGAAGGGCGACGACGACAACGACGACAACGACGAAGACGACAACACCGACGACGACGAGGGCGACGAAGACAACGAGGACGACGACGAAGGCGACGACGACGCCGACGACGAGGGCCACAATGACGATGACCATCTTGCGAACATGCGGCCCCACCCCAAAATCAATGTTGTTGTTTATTTCGTTCTCCCTCACCCTTGTACCCGCCCGCTAGGTCTATGGGCCAGCCTCCTTTTAGTATGTCTGTTCATACCAGTGCCTAGGAGAAGCCTTGCAATGCATTCTGCATGCGCACTGCGCCGCAATGATCGTCATTCGAGCTGGCGCGCCCGCGGGCAACTCACCAACTTGATCGAACTGCGAGAAGTCTTGGGCGAGAATCCGCTCTTCAGTTTCGGGTCTCTCTGGCCAAGGCGTCTCGGCGCGTCAACTGAAAACAGGTATCGAACGGGAGCCGCTGTCGTCGCAGGTGGGCCGTTGCGAGCTTGACTGGGTTCTGGGGAAGTGTCTGGCGAAAGCGCCGTTCCTGATTTCGAGGCCTTCTCTGGCCAGGGCGTCTCCGAGAAAACTGTGAGGCACCATCGAGCGGGAGCCGTTGTCGTCGTAGCTCGGCCTCTCTGGCCAGGGCGTCTCGAAGCAAATCGAATCGCTCCGCCTATCGCCGCGGTTGGCAAATCCGCTGCAATTCCATTCACACCTGGTGGCCCTGCTCTCAAGTTGTCGCATGCTTGCAGCCCCCGGCAGCACCGGCAGCCCGCAGCACCCTCCCCGGCTCCTCTTGCTGCTCCGACCCTGAGGCTTCGGCGGTAGGTCCTGCTCCGCCCCGCTCTATGTAATCCAGATTTCGTAATAAAAGGGAGGGGGTCTGGACCCTCCAAGACAAGCCATTTCAGACCCCCCCCCGTGGGAGAACCCTCCAAAACATCGTCCCCAGAACCCCCCAGGCCCTCCAAGAGAGCCTGGAAGAGACCCCCCCCCGAAATGAGACCCCCCTCCCTTTCTTACGAAACCTGGAGTAACTAGGCCCCCGCGCGGCCCGCTCGGACCTTGCTCGCCGTTGGCGCGCTCGCCGTCGGCTGCGAACCCAAAAAAAAAATACCCAGCCGGCCCACACTGCACCACCGCGCTGCACCGCGCCGAGAGCGCTCCTGTTGGGGTGCGCGGCCCGTGCGGGCCGGCCCGTGGAGAGCCGAGGCACGCGGCCCGAGAGGCGGGCCTCACGGCGCCGCCGGGAGCACCCGTCGCAGGCCTCTCTCGTCTCGGTTCCTGGCGCTCGTCGGAGCGATAGGGTCTGAGCCGTAAGGTGCCCTGGAAACGACAGGGCCGTTTTTTTTTACCGGTCCCGCTGTGCCGTTTCTGTTGCTGGTTCCGACGCCGTTTTTGTTGCCGGTTCCGTCGCCGTTCTTTTACGGGTTCCCGCTCCCGCTCCAATCCTGGAGCCGTTTTTGTTGCAATTTCCGGTCGCCTTTTTTTGCCGTTTCCATTTTCAAGGGACAATTTTCTGGAAACTGTGAAAAAACGGCCCTGCCGTTTCCGGGGCCCCCTAAGGCCAAGAGCACTCGTCGCAGGCTTCTCTCGTCTCGGTGCCTGGCGCTCGTCGGAGCGACAGGGTCTGAGCCCGTGGCGACAACGACCCCTATCGGCTCCACAGCGGCGTGCCCCAGCGGACCTGGGACGTGATAGCATCCTTCAAGAACATGAGACCACCCTCCGCCAGCCAAAACACACAGAACATCCGAGGGTACCCTCCCTCAGGATGCTCAAACATGTCCAACAAGCACGAAGAACGTTCGGGTACCCTCCCCGAACCGACCTCGATCTTATGCCTCGGTCCGACCGTACGCCCTCCTTCTCCGTGCGTATCACAGCTCCTTGAATCACTCCATACGCTCAACGACTTCGACGCTCACCCATCCGACGTCAGCTTCGAGTTCAAGCGCGGACCCCGCTGGGGCTTCGAGGAGGAGGGCGACGGGCGTCGGGGAACAAACAACGGCATCAGCACGAACTTTCGGAGGTCCGCGCTTCTTTCTTGGATCAGCACTGCCCCTTGGCGGCGCGCAAAAGGGGGTAGGGGGAGGGGGGAAGGCTTCTTAGAAGCACCCCTGCTTCTCAGAAGGCCTCGGCCTTACGTCTATAGCGAAGGCCCGCGCCTTCTGAGAAGCAGGGGTGCCTCTAAGAGGCCTTCCCCCCTCCCCCTGCCCCCCTCTGCGCGTTGCCGAGCCCCCCCCCCCCTCCTTGGCGCGCAGGAGGCCACCAGGGCGGCGCCGGAGAACCGCCTGGAGGCTCCAGCGCCGACCCAAGAGATCAGCCCAGACCTCTGGACTTGTTTACAGTCAACCCGCACAGTGGGGACGCACGCCCCGACTGGCAGGGGCCTTGGAGGGCCAGGTCGACACTGTGCGAGCGGGGCGCGGCCAGCGGAAGCGGCCAAGGAGAGGCCGAAGGGGAAGGATGCAAATGTATTCGAGAGTCTCACATCCTTGCTGTGCGGGTTGACTGTGGATGCCGTCCGTGTTTTGTTCCTCGAGGGAAGGAAGATAAGGAGCCGGTCCCCTGGGGCCCTGTCGGGGATCTACTGACCCGGGTCAATCCAAACCCAGGTCAGTCAGGCCTTGCAGCATCATGCAGGATCCTGAAAGATCCTGCGAGATCCTGCGCCCAGTCCGGGGTCAACGCACCCCTGGCCCTGCATAGCCCTGCAGGATCCTGCGAGATCCGGCGCTCTGGCTGACCCCCGTTGTTGCACCTTGACCCCCGCCTCTCGAGCCCCGCTTTGCCACAAAAACGACGGCTGCGTTGTTCCGGGCTCCAGGACCCCCACAGACCGATCCGGCTCGAAAACCGATGCAGAAACTGGCCATCGCTCGGACGTCCATGCGTGTTTTTTCGCCAAATGATAACGGATGCTCCTCGATGGTCCTCGCCGAAGAAAAAATACACACGTCCGAGCGATGCCAAGGAAAGAAAAGGTCTAGGGCTCTGGTCGTGACTTTTTGCGACGGTCGGTCTTCTGTTCGCAGCGTCGGATCTCAGGAAACCCAGGGCGCCTCGAAGACTGGAGCTTCGCGAAGGAGCCGCTACCCAGGGGCCCCACTCGGGGATCGTCTGGCCCGGGTCAATCCAGACCCGGGTCAGCAGGAAACCAAAAAACTGCAATGCAGGAACATCCAACTGCAACGCAGATCTTCGCAAACCCGGGTCAGCCAACATGCGCGGCCGCCTCGCGGCCACGAGCGGCTCGCTAACCCGGGTCAGCCAGAGGGGATCTTCGCAGGATCCTGAAAGATCTGGCGCTCTGGCTGACCCCCGTTTGCATTGACCCCCGTCTCAAGGCTCCCGACCCACGGGGTGGGCCTGCGCGCCCGGCCAGGTTCGGCGGGGGGTGTCCTTGCGGTCGATCCATTTCGGGCCCACCTGCGTCCGCAGCGCGTAGAAGTCGAGGTCCTGCCCCTCCATGCGGCGGGCGCGCGGCAGCCCCTCGGGGCGGCGCGGGTCGTCCTCGGGCGCCACGGACCGGGGGTAATCGGGCGTGGAGGGGTTCCTCCTCCTCCTCCTCCTCCTCCTTCCCGTCCTCCTTCTCTCTCCTCCGCCTCCCTTCTCCCTCCTCCTCCTAATCCTCCCTTCTCCCTCCCTCTGGCTCCCGTCTCCCCTGTCTTCCTCCTATCCTCCTCTCCCTCCCCCTCCTCTGTTCATCATCACTCCTCACTCCCCCTCCCCTCTGGAGGGGGGGAGCGGGAAGAAGAGAGATAAATTACAGAAGTGAGAGGAGCGACTGAATAGAGGAGGGAGGTGGATGGAGGCGTGTGGATTGGTTGGGTGGAGGAGGGGGCGATGAAGGGAGGGAGAATGGTGGAAGATTCATTGAAGGAGGAGTGGGGAAGAATGAACATGACGGATGATAGATGGAGAATGGATGGATGGACAGCGCTACAAAGAGTGCGTTCGACAGGTCACAAGCGAAGGCACGGTAGATCAAGCGGAGGAGGGAGGAGCGATTCAGAACAAAACTCTGATGCACTTTGAGATCCAGTGGTCCTTCTGGGGGGCTTTGTACCCACGGCCAGCCTTGCATCGAAATCTTGGTCATAACGATCTTCAGGAGAGCTCTTGAGGGCGATTTCGAAAGGGGGCGAGAATAGCACGAGGCTTGCAGCAGTGTTCGGAGGTTTCTGAAGGTGCCCAGAAATTCAATAAGGAGAGAAGGCGAGACGAGGAAGAGAAGAAGTAGGGAGAGGGAAGAGGAGGATGACGGTGAGGAAAGAGCAAGAACCATGGGGAGGAACAACCGCAGCATGTGCCGGGAGTGATGCACGCCGTCCTGGCACCATCTACAGGTCTTCTAAGGCTGCCTGAGGGGAGGACGGACGAGGAAGATCAACGAGGTGAATGCGACGATGTTCGCACTTGCCGCTCAGGGAGGACCCTTGCCGCTTGCCGGAAGCTTACACGCCCCCGGCCGCTTCGAGCAAGGTGTAGTCCCCACTGCGCCTCGAGGTACGGAGCGGAGTGCCCTCAGGTCCACCCGAGCCCTCTGCATTGAGCGCTGTGGACACTGTCTTCGGTGGCGAGCGAAGGGGGAAGCGAGAAGAGGCAAACCTTCTCATAGAGCGATTTTCTGAGAAGCCCGCGGGCCTCCTGAGACGTTTTCTGTCTCTTCGGAGAAGGCTCAGGAAACGTCCCAGAAGGCTGGATGACTTCCGAGCCTTCTGAGAAAGCCCGCCCCCTCTCATTTCCCCCCCCCCCCGGGCTGGCCACCGATCTTTTGAGGGGCCCACAATCCCGAACTCTGGGCGCTCCTGGGCCCTCCCTGAGCTTGTCGCGTGACTTCGCGCGGCTTGTCCTGAGGCTAGAGGGTCCCAAGACGGGCCAAGAGGGTCCCAAGAGGCCCCCAAGACGGTTCAAGAGGCCAGAGAGACCCCAAATAGCCCCACGACGACCCAAAGAGCCGCGAAGACGGCACAGAAGGGCCCCAAGAGAGGGCCCCAAGATGCACAAGTCATTGATTGTCCAAAACTGGACGTTGAAGGATTCGAACGTCGTCGCCTTTTCGGTCTTCCAGCGCTCCACGACAGCTCAAGAGGCCACCAGGGTCGCCCCAAGACGGCCAGGGGTGTGACTCGAACAGAGCTCCAGGATGGCCCAAGAGGGTCCCAAGAGGGGAAGCATACATTTCTTTCCCTGAGCTGGAAGTCTATTGGGGCGAGACTCGGGGGATGGGAGCGAGAAGTCGCCTGCCACATTCAGCGGCGCGCCCGGGGGAGGGGAAGCAAGAGGGGGTAGGGCGTAGGCGGCGGGGCTTCTTCTCAGAATTCCTCCCGCCTTCTCCGTCTTCGGAGGGGAGGAGGAGGAGGAGGAGGAGAAGGAGGAGGAGGAGGAGGATGAGGAGGAGAGAGGAGGGAGGAGGGAGGAGACTGCTGAGAGGCCGTCTCCATCCTCGGAGAAGGCCTAGAACACTTCTCCAAGGAAAGAGGCCTTCCGAGCCTCCTGAGAAGGCCCGCCCCCGCTGACCTTCCCCCCTGGGCTCGCCGCCGAGACATGCCTCGCTGCTCCTGGGCACCACCCTGGCTCCAATTTCGGCCGGATGGTGAGCATGCGCGGTGCGGATGCGCGGCCCTCTGACTCCCCAACTGAAACCGAAGTTGGAAGTCCATGGCCCACGGCTAGAGAGGGTTAGGATGGCCCATGTCCTCCTCCTCGTCCTCCTCATCCTCCTTCTCCTCCTCCTCCTCCTCCTCCTCCTCCTCCTCCTCCTCCTCTTCCTTCTGGGCAAAAAATGCTCAGGGAAGATCGAATAAGAAGGACTGCGTAATTAATGAACGTTTGACGATCCGCATGGACCGTCAGGCCTTTTGCTTGTGCCGTCGCATGCTTCCTCCAGGGGGCCCCTGGGACAGTACAGTCGGGGCGTTGACCTAAGGAACCCTAAATAAGGAACGGGGCCCCTTTCTCCCAGAAGTTGAACTTCGATTTGCCATGGGAAAACTCAGGAAAACAAAAGGCAAACCGCAGAACAATCAAGGAACACCGAGCCCCTCCCCAACGAAAAGGGCTCCTTCTTCAGGGCCCCGACTGAACACGCATCCTTAGTTATGAGGCGGCTTGGCTGTGCTGGGACGAGAGCGGTGGCACGACGCGATCGGCCCAGGACACTCCCTGGGGGAACTCTGGGAGTGTCTGGCGGCCCTCGCCTCTGCAGCACGCGCGGAACGTGCGGGCATCTGGGAAATCCGGGAATGAAACTCGTTCGCAAGCCATGTCGCACGACACATCGGCTCAGCAGGGGAACAAAAATCCTTGCCGCGCAGGATCAGCAGCAATCGTATATTACACCTAAGCAAATCTGGGGTCAATGGAAAGGCCATATTGTTTGACACTTGCCTTCCACATTGGCTGTCTATGCGCTGCAAAACCAGGGTGCCTGAACAATGCACTTAAAGCTTCGTCCGAGGGGACTGAAACGAAACTGGAGGGACGAAACACTCGCCAATCGGGTTTTCATTGCATCTTCTCAAAACATTGCACCGGGGCCCGACGCGTCGTAGAACCGTCATCGTCATCAACTTCGCTAGCCCCGTCGCGCACGAGCACCCCGACGGGAGGGCGCTCGACCCAGCGCGGATGGACGCAGTTCCATCCCAGCGACGGACACGAACTCTCCCAGGTCCGCGAGGATCTCTTGGATCGCCGCTGGGCCCCCCTCCCTGGCGTGCAGAGCGCGCCAAGAGCGGGGCGGCGCCGGAGGCGCCGCCAGGGGGGTGGTGCAACGCCGATCCGAGGTATCCGCGCGGACCGCCGAGAAGTTGTGTCTGTGCAGTTTGGTCCCTTCGAAGACCTGGGAAACATCGGAGCACGTCCCCATCACGACCACTCGCCGAGACGAGAGCACCCTCGGGAGCCAGCGATGACCTCCGAAACCCCGCGACCACTCGCCGAACTTTGGGGGATCTCGAAACGCATCCTCATCAATACTCGGGAGCGGCCAAGAGGGGGGCGTCCAAGAGGGGGGGGTGCAAATCATGGCCGGCGGCATGTGCGCGGCCCAGGGCGGGGGCCAGGGACGTCATGAAATAAGAGGGGCCATGAAATCTTCAGCGAGCGAAGAACGGTATAAAATAAACTGTTTCGCTGTCGGGGGCGCCCGTCGCTGGGAGGCTGGAGAGTTTATACCGCTACGGTGCCACCGTAAGGGTATAAACTGTCCAGCCGCCCTGGGACAGGCGCCCCCGACAGCGAACAAAAGTTTGTGTTATACCGTCCTTCGCCCGTTACAACCTGGCGAGATATCCGGGCCCCCGCCGTGATATCCCCCCCCCTAGTCTAGGGGGCAAACAAACCTATCTCGCTTTTGACCACCCTCGCTTCCAAGAGATACCAAGCGATGCCAAACTACGGCCTGTACTGGTCAGGCCGCTTGACGAGGAGGCGCGTGGTATGCCTTGGTTTTTCCTGGAAGCGAAAGCGGGGTAGGTAATTCACGCTCTGATAGTCCTCCCCCCTCCTCTTTGCCGCCCCCGAGATGCCCTGCCCCTCCGCGGCGGGCGCGAGGCGCGGCCGGGCCGCCGCCGCTCCGCCGCTCCGCCCCCCCCCGCCCCGGGGATCCTCCCCGGGGGCGCGCCGCCAGAAGCCGAGCGGGAACAGCGGGGAGCACCGCGAGCGCCCGCCGCCTGTCGGACCGTGCGTCGTCGGCCGTCCGTCCGTCCGTCCGCCGTCCGTCCGGCCGTCCGTCCATCGACGGCCGTCCGTCCGTCCGTCCTCGTCCTCGTCCTCGTCCTCGTCCTCGTCCTCGTTCTCGTTCTCGTTCTCGTTCTCGCCGTCGTCGTCGTCGTCGTCGTCGAAATTGTCGTCGTCGGAATTGCCGTCGTCGTCGTCGTCGTCGTCGTCGTTGTCGTCGTCGTCGTCGTAATTGTCGTCGTCGTCGTCGTCGTCGTCGAGGGGTCAAGCCGTGCACTGGGGGGCGCGTGAGTGGGGTGCGATTACCTGGGGGAGGGGGCAGCGAGGGATATAGATCAGGGGCCCTCGAGGACCCCTAAACGGAGATCTCTGGGGGGGGCCTCTACAGGGTTAAGTCGGGCCTGTCCCCCTACAGGGGGATTTTCGACGAAAAAAAAATACCCCAAAAATGCACCAAAAAGGCCAAACAATACTCAAATAATTGCGACCAGACTATGTTTGGACTAGTTTTCAAGCATGTTTGAAGTATATTTATTTGTCGTCGAAGATCCCCCCGAGAATGGCCTTCCCCCCGCCCCCCCCTTTTCTTCATCGCCCCCCCCCCATTACGGCAGGTTCGCGTGGTGTCGACCCCAACGATGGTTTCTGTCACCTCGGGGATCGTTCAACCTTGAACGATCGGCCCTTTCCGAGACGTGCGATCCTTCAACATCGACCGATTCTGGGTCGCCGGCGGCGTCCAACCTTGAACGCCCACGCCGGGGTCGCCGCCGGTCGACACGACACGAACCTACCGTACGCGTGGCCCAACGCGCGCGAGCACCGACCTCGGTCCGGGCCCGCCGAGGGGGGCCCGGGGGCCAGCGGAGGAGCTCGGGCCTCAGCGCTCGGCCCGCCCCGCGCGCCCCGCGCGGGAAGCGCGGGGGGCGGCCATCTCGTCGCGCTCTCGCGCCATCCCCTTCCTCCTCCTCCTCCTCCTCCTCCTCCTCCTCCTCCTCCTCCTCCTCCTCCTCCTCCCCGCCACCCACCTGGGCGTCCGAGGCAAGACGGGCAGCGGCGAGCTGTCCGGGTCCATCTCCGCAGCGGAGACGAAGATCCTCCTCCAACTCCCCCTCCTCCTCCTCCTCTTGGCCTTCTCCCCCCCTCCACCTCCTCCTCCTCCTCCTCCGCCTCCTCCTCCTCCTTCTCCTCGTGCTCGGATCGGGTCGGGCCACTCGCCATCGCTGGGAAGGCCATTCCCCGTGCATGCTTCGACTTCGTTCGTGCACTTCTGCGTGAGGTGATCCAACATGCTCCTCGATGGCCCCCGCTGGGAAAACTGCACACGTCAGAGCGATGCCAAGGCCAAAAACAGAGAGCAGAATAACCACCCTCCTCAGAAGGCTCGGGAGTGCCCAGCCTTCTCAGAAGCTTTGTAAGCCTTCCCCGAAGACGCAGAAAGCCCCTCAGGAGGCGCGTGAGATTCTGAGAAGCCCCGCCTTCTGAGAGGGCCTTTTCCTTCTCAAGTCCTCCCCTCGCTTGCCACCGAAACCGTGAAAACAAATGAACCACCTCCACATAAAAGAAGCCCCGACAAGCGAAGCCGCTCAGCAAACGCACCCAGGGGAAGACTCGAACAGGGCGAGGCTGTGTAGCAAGCGCCCGGGGCCGCTCAGCAGACGCCAATTGTGGGGGTCGGGGTGGTTTCTCTCCTCCCTTGACACACGGGGGGGGTGTCAGTGAAAGGGGGGGGTGGGGGGGGGGGGGCGGCGCACAGCGCTGGGCCATGTGACCGTGAGGGCGACGGCAAAGAAACGGCAGGAAGAGCAGCATCGCCTCAGTCCAGGTCTGCATCCTGTAGTTCGGGAGCGGCCAAGAGGGGGGCGTCCAAGAGGGGAGGGGGGTGCAAATCATGGCCGGCGGCATGTGCGCGGCCCAGCGGGGGGGCCAGGGACGCACTGAAACGAGAGGAGGCGCCACGAAGCCTGGGGAATCATCGTGGCCCGCGCCATGAAATCCCCCGCCCCTCGTCCTCACCCCCCTGCCGCCCCCGAGCAGCGTGAGCCCTGCTCCTCGCCGCCGCGCGGGGGGCAGCGAGGCACGGGCCCGCGCCGCGGACCTCCCGCGGCGCCTCTCCGGGCGCCGTGGGCGCCAGCGCTCCGCGGCGGGCGCCCGGCGGCGGGGCCCGGTCCCCCGTGGGGGCGGGGGCCGCGCCCGCGTCCGCGGCGCCCCGCGGGCGGCGGCCCCTCGGAGGCGGCGGCCCCTCGGGCGGCGGGGCGCTGCTGCTCGCGGGTGCCCCGCGCGGGAGGCGTTGTCCGTGCGGCCGTGCAGTCGTGCGCGGGATGGCGCCCAGGGGTCCAGGCCGCGAGGGCGCGCCTGCGGTGATGTGCTCGCCGCTCGTGTTTTCTCCTCCGATGCGACCTGTTTGAGAAAGAGTGCTACCAGACGATCGTCCAGACCTCAAGAGCTCATCCAGAACTCAAGAGGCAGATCGTGAGGACTTGGAATGTAAAAAGATCAGGGGTCCCATCTTACCTATATTCATCTAGGCTTCAGGGGGGTAGTGCTGGCCACGAGTTACTAGTACCACTTGCCCATCGTAATGAAAGCGCTACTCGCCAAAACGAGAGGGCTGTCGCCGAACAGCTCAAGCGGCATTGGGCGTTCAGCTCAACTGTGTTGCACAGCGGCTCGCAGGACGAGCCCGGCGCGGAGGCCGTCGCGGCCGCGGCCGCGGCGGTGCTGCGCGCCTTGGCGCCGGGCGCCGTGCCCGTCTGCGGCTGGGGCTAGCGCGCCGCTGGCGCGGCTGTCTGACCACCACTGGCCGCCTGCCAGGGGCTGCGCGGGCCCCGGCTGGCGCTGAGGGCGCGCGCGCGGGCGCGCGCCCCCCATCCTCCCTCCCTCTCCCCATGTCCCGCCACCCCCTGCGCCCTCCGTCGTGTCGTCTCCTCGTCTGTCGTTACCCCTGAACCCTTGCCGCTGGGCTTCTTTCGTTGGTATTATAAGTTGTTGTTCTAGCAGCCGATGTGCAGTCGTGCAGCTGTTCATCGACCCCCAGCATCAAATTTCCAGTGTTATCAGCAGGATCCGCATTCAATGAATGCAAATCATAATATACAGGGAAAAAGGCGGGGAAAGCAGGTCTCGGGTGCATCATGCACTAAGCTCTCCGGATGATCACATGTCCACTGCGTAATCAAGATAAAAACTCACTGGTCGTAAGGCCTTCCAAATATGTAGATCATCGGAACAGGTCACATCCTGCAGCCGCCAGCCGTCCTCGCAGCGACCCTGCCCATCATCCTCATCATCATCCTCATCATCATCCTCATCCTCATCATCCTCCTCCTCCTCATCATCATCATCATCATCAGCATCATCATCAGCATGCTGTTCTGCATGCGGCACTGCGGCGCGCCGTGCAAACTCAACAACAACTTATGCATGGTGCGTCGTACCTCGGCGGTCTTCGCAAGAGCCTTGTTTCCAGTCTCTTCCTCCATCCCCCCCGAACTGCAGCCTGCCACCGCCGACGGACGAAAAAATGCGCTTACTGCAACACTAAAAATACGCCTTCCGCCTTCAACCGGCGGGGTGGTCAGAGGATCGTTCGCCAGAGGCGAAGGCGAGGTGAGAAAGCAAAGCAGCCTGGATCCCAAGAGGCACATGGGCAGACGGCGAGTTGAGACGATGGCAGTGTCCGCGCGAGTGCCCACACGAGGGGGCTCAGCAGGGATGGGCCAGGGCGCCCGAACGCATGAAATAGAATACGAAAGGGACAGCATGCACCTCCAAACTGTACGAACTGTACACAATCTCATTCCACGATGGGACTCTGACCAAGACGGCCCAAGCATCTGTTCAAGCGGCAATGCCCAATCGATTCTGCACATGTCTACGTATTTTATCTACCCATCGTGAGGTCTGGCCTGCAAGGTAATCAAAGGAAGCGAGGTGAGGCGGGCCCAGAAAAGTACTGAAAGAGGGGCGGCGAAGAAACGAGGCCATCATCATCTCCCGTTCTCCCACTCTCACTCTCGCCACTAATTGTCTAGAACTTGTGTACCCTGGCTTGGAAAGAAACGCCCGCAGAGAGATCTGCACCCCTGCCGGGAGCGTCATGCAGGACAGGGCGATGGGGCTCTGTCTGCAGGGCAGGGTTAATAAGCACAGGCCAGGCACACAACAACGAGAACTCATACCACACGTACTACGGAATGCCTCACACAGCAGCATCCCCGTGACTCCTCTATACATATATGTATATATATATATATATAAAGTATATGTGCAGATGTGTATTCGGTCGCGCGCGTGCCGTTCGCATCGCAAGCCACACCAAAAGAAACTGCGAAGCGGCTCCTTGATGCGGATCGTGCCGCTCGGCAGGCAGCCGAGCCGCGGCCGCGCACGCGCCGCCCCGAGCGTCCGAGCAGCCGGGAGCAGGGCCTGGCCATCGCTCGGGCGTCCATCCCCTGTGCTTTTGTTCGGTTTCGCGCGTGTTTTTGTTCGCCAAATGTGCGTGCAAGACTCATATCCATATCCAGTGCCTCTTGGACATTTTTGGAAGCGGCGCCACAAGGCCGAGGCGCACTGGATATGGATAAAAATCGAGCCTCTAGGGGGCAAGTATATCCATATCCAGTGCACCTCGGGTTTCTTGGGAAGGGAGCCCGACTCTCCAAGCTGCAGAGGATATGCACAAAAGTATTCCCCGCAAAATGATCAAAGATGCTCCTCCATGCTCCTCGCCGAGAGAAAAAATACACACGTCCGAGCGATGCCAAGGGGGCACGGGCGCTGCTGGACGAACGGGCCACGCGCCGGCACCGCGCAAGCGGCACGCGCTCCACGCACACCGCAGGGCCGGCAAACCGTGGGCGGCGCAGGCCCTCGGCCAGAGGGGCGGAGGCTTCAGAAGCACGCGCCGCACGAGCGGGCCATGCGCAGGCCACTGCTCGCGCCAACCTCAGCAGTCCATTGCCAGCCTCGAGCGGATCCCTATCCCTAAGACTGACACGCCAAAAGGCGATGACAATCTCAGGGACTCGCCCTCGAAAAATAAGGGAATCCCTAAGATTGGCATCGTGATGAGGAGATGCCCAGCATAGGGATAGGGAGATGTTCCAGGATGGTAAGTCCAGGCGCCGTGCAAGCTCGATTTGCTCGCCGAGGGGGCAGAAGCATGTGCTCGTGGGGCGTGCACGGGACTGAAGACGCATGCGAAGATTCGGCTGCTCTTCTGCGCAAGAAGACCGCCTGCGTTCGGCCCCCAGCGAGGCCCTCACCCCAGAACGTCCAATTCGGCCTTCGGTGAAGCCATCAATCGAAACCACAAGGGGTACCGCAAGGAGGCGATCCGGACGACCAGCAAGACGACGAGCACAACCTCGATGGCCATGCTCTCGGAAGGACTGGCGACACTGACGAGCACCCAGTAGCAGGCGTAGATCGGAAGATAGCCACTCCCGAAGGCCGCGAATGAGCGCCCGAGCTCGCCGCAACGGCCCGCGCCGCGGTGCCGGAAGCGCTTCGCCATCGCCACCGTGTTGGCGCGCACGAGCGGCCAGAGGATGAAACTGATGATGAGGATTCGCAAGAAGCGCTTGAAAGTCAAGTAAGCGTCGTACGGGCCGTCCAAGACAATGGCGGTAACCTGGTCGAGGAAGTACCACATCGAGGGTGAGGCGGCGATTAAGCATGAGGTGTAGCTCACCGGCTGGGCGACCATGACCTCGAGCGCCTCTGCGAGCTTGGTCTGGACATCTTCGTTGAAGCGCGCCGTGCCGTCGCGGCTTGCCGCTGCGGTGCATGACGGGCCTGCAGCTTCGAAGATCTCGAGAGATGAGCGCGGCGCGCCGCTCCCGTACCAGCAGTCGATCGCGTCGTAGACCTTCTCGCGATCGCACATGAGCGCAGACCCCGTCTCTGGGTCTACGTGCTTGTGCTGGCAGCAGAAGCACTGAGTCTGGGCAACGTCGTGCGTGCGCAGCAGCTCTGGCATCGACAGGAGGTCCCGCATCACCAGCCTCAACGAGTGGACGAGGGGGAGAGGGGCGCAGAGGGCGATAAGCTTCGCGCAGGCGCTGATCGGCACGCCGGGGAAGTGAGTGCCCACGTAGACGCCAAAGTGGGTGAGCAGCACGATGGAGAAGAAGACGCCAGTGAACACCGCGTCGCTCGGCGGCAGGAAGACGATCGAGCCAACGCCCTTGAACCGCAGCCACGCGGCTACCTCGAAGGTGCACCACATCCGCGAGAAATATCTGTGCGTACAAAGCATGAGCATGAAGTCCGACTTCTGGAGGAAGCCGCCGATCGAGTACACCCCCCGCTCCTTCTCCCTGGGATCCCGCTGGTTGATGCACATCTTGTCAACGAAGGCGTAGGCCGGCGGCAAGACGCGCTCGCGGCAGACCTGCCAGTAGAGGAGGACGAAGAAGAAGGCGCAGACGCCAGCGGGGAAACACCAGACGCCGTGGACCTCCTCGTACTCCACCCCCGCCGTCAGGCATGGCTCCGGCTTCTTCCGCTGCGCCAGCACGCCCGCCACCTGCAGCGCGAAGACCAGCATGCACGTGGCGAAGCTGGCGCAGAGCGCTGGGACGCCGTTGAAGTACACGGCGAGGGTCAGCAGCTTCATCCACCGGCTCGTGCCCCAGTCGTGGGAGATGAAACAATCGAGGCGATCTCGCTTCTGCGTACGCTCGTAGTGGCTGTGCTCCCCGGCGGAGCTCCTCCAGATCCGGCCGCGGCCGCTGAAGCAGCTCTGCAGCGGCGCCCCGCGGAGCTCCACCAGCATCTCATCCGCCGCCTCGCGCAGGATCGACGGTCGGCGAGCCAGTGCTGCGCTCGCGGTGGGCGATTGGGGGTCTGTGCTCCCCTTGCTGAGCCCGTCCCCCAGTGCAGCTGATCGGGGGCAGCGATGGGGGCGAACAGCCCAGGGGAGAGCAATCCATGTATCCAGAGGCGCCGATGGCCCATGCCTTCGGCGAGGCTCCCGGGCGAATACATATTTAATGCCCGCCCCTGGGCTGTTCGCCCCGATCGTCCCCCCATGCAGATGACCCCGAAGGGACCGGCCAGGCGGCATCGCGATCGGGAGCCCCGGCGTGCTCCACGGCTGGGACGGGGGCCGTGGCAGGCGCACTCATCGCAGGGCCAGGTCTGCAGGCATGCCGGAACGCAGGCCGAGTCCGGAGCCTTGGGCCAAATTGGGTACGGACGAGTTCCCCCTCGATACCGTGGGAGCCTCCGATACCATCTTGTTGGCCCTTGCGGCTCGACGTTCCTCGACGTCGTCGACGCGACGTTGAATCGACGCAAATCGACGTGAGTTCGGCGCTGCTTCATCGACTAAATCGACGCTAATCGACGCTAAATCGACGCTAAATCGACGCTAATCGACGCCAGTGCACTCGAAAAACGGACCCCTGGGGGCACATGTCTTTGGAGCCCTCAGGACTCGCAAGAGGCGCGCCATGGCCGCCCAGCCTCTCCGAGCGCCCTGCCCGCGACGTCGCGCCCCACTCACCCCAAGAGAGCCCAGAATCGAATCGAAAAGTCGGATTGGCGATCGAAGCGCATCACCAGGGTATGCGTTGGCGGCGCGCAGAGGGGGGTATAAGGGAGTGGGGGAGGTTTCTGAGAGGGGGGAGGCGTGTTAGAGGGGGGCCGCGGGCCTTACATCTGCAGACAAGGCCGCGCCTTCTAAGAAGCAGCCGCCTTCTAACAAGCTCTCCACCTGAGACGAAGCCAGGATAGGGATAACAACGGGTGAGGATACATCGAGCACCTCTGCGATCAGGCGGCTCTGGAAGATGTATCGTCCCCGCGGCCTTCTCGGAGAGTCCCGGAACGGATTTGTCCTCCTCGTCCTAGCCCCGTCTGAAGCGGGCACCCTGGCGCTGCGCCCGTGGGTGGCCCAGGCCTGGACATCCGGCGCTCCAGCTGTTCTGAAACGACGATCCTCCTGACGCCGTGTTAGCGCCAACGTGCGCTTGCCTGCCACAGCCCTTCAGTGCGACGCAGGCGGTGTGATGAGGGCGGGGGCAGGCTGCGCGCTGCCGGCAGAGGAGGAAGGAGCAAGCGAGGGCGGAGGATGAGGAGGAACAAGAGGAGGAGGTGGAGGAGCAGGAGAAGCAGGAGGAGCAGGAAGAGGAAGAGGAGGAGGACGAGCAGGAGAAGGAGGCGGGGGGCGAAGGATGAGGAGGAGGAGGAGGAGGAGGAGGAAAAGGCCAAGGAGGAGGAGGAGGAGGAGGAGGGACCGAACAGGGTGAACGCACGCTTGGCCTAACGCACGTCCTGAGAATAATCGGTCGATGCGTGGACCGCCAGAGGTCTGGACCACTTCACCATGGCTGGCGTTTCGTCCCGAGCCGTGTTTTCGGACGGTCCTGGGCACCCGACGAGGGCACCCCGGAGCCGAAAACTGGAGGCGCAAAAACAAGACTTCCTGGATTGGAAGGACTTCCTGCGCTGGAAAACTTCCTGGATTGGAAAACTTCCTGCGCTGGAAAACTTCCTGCGCAAAAACAGGACTTCCTGGATTGGAAGACTTCCCGGATTAGGAGGAGCTGAAAACTGAAGTTGCGCGCGGACTTCCTGGATTGGCGCTGGGCCCCCATGCCTGGGGCGCGGAGCGCGCCGAGGGCGGCGCCAGGATTGCCGCAAGGGGATCTCCACTGAAGGTCAAAGAAATTCGCGCGGAGTTCCGAAAGTGCATGTTTATGGACTCGCGGCATTGGATTTGGAATGCAGTTCGTTCTTCCTCCACTGCTTCCAGAGGACGAGGGCACAGAACTCTCTTTCCCACGCGGCGCGTCGTGCTGGCAGTCTGGAGTCCACGTCTACCATATCTGGGCGTCTGGCCGTCTTACTTATGTAGATTTTCGGACAATGTCCAAACACCGACGGCTCCCATGTTTGCGAAGCCTGCATTGGTACTGGACCCCAATTTTGGCGCCGGGGGCGCCGCCATGGATGCCCAAAGAAGATCCGCGCGGAGCTGCGAGAGCGCGTGCTTTTGTAGATATTCGGGAAAGGCGGGGCGCCCCACTTGTTGCGTAGCCTTGTGGATGCCATGGCGACGAACACCATAACAGTCCTATCATTGCAGTAAACATGTGTTCAGCATGTCGGAAGCAAAGGCTACACATGCTAAACGCACGTGATGTGTACCACATGTTGAGAACAGGATTTAGAAGTCTGACGACTCTTTGGCACCATGCTTCCTCTCCGCGGACCGCCGCCCACAAGCCCAGGGCCTCCCAGAGGGGGCCCGAGCAGCTGGGGCTGGAGGATCGCGCCGCATCGCCGCTGCAGCGGAACCCTGGGGGCCTGGACGCGCGGAGCCTTGGGACCTCCGTGGCGCGCGGGCCCACAGCCCGGTGCCGGCGCGCCCCTGGGGCGGCCAGGGGCGGCGCGCACGCCCGCGGTGGCGGTGGCCAAGGTCGGGCCGGGCCGTGGCAGGGTCTCCCCCGGCGGCCTTGGCCGCTGCTCCCCGTCAGGTCGAACTCGAGGAGGGAGTCCTCGAGGGGGAACGCGGGCAGGGGAGCACCACGGCGGGGAGAGCGAGGCAGGAAAGCGAGAGAGAGAGAGAGAGAGATATATATAGAGAGAGAGAGAGAGAGAGAGAGAGAGAGAGAGAGAGAGAAAAAAAAGAGAGAGAGAGAGAGACAGAAGGAGAAGGGAGGAAAAGGAGGAGGAGGAGGATAGGAGGGGGAGGGGGAGGGGCAGGAGGAGCAGGAGGGGGAGGACGAGGAGTTTGAGGAGGTGGAAGAAGAGGAAAGGGAGGAGGAGGCGGAGGAGGATGAGGAGGACGAGAAGGAGGAAGAGGAGGAAGAGGAGGTGCATGAGGAGGAGGAAGAAGAGGAAGAGGGGGAAGGGGAAGAGCACGGTGAGGATCCTGCCCCGACGTTGCGCTGGGCCAAAGTGCGCTTCACTATACGTCAACCCAACCTTTGCGCAGGCCTCCGACGTTAGTCCTGGAGTCGACCCACACCAGCGGCTTCCAGTTCACCAACAGGATAGCCCACCGTCCATTCTTCGCTGTAGACAGCATTCCTTCCCTGGGACCATTTTTGTTTCCAGAAGTTCTGGGGACGATGTGGGACGCCGCTCAGCTCAGCCGAGCTTGTGATGGTGTGCGTGGCACGTTGATGTATCCTGCCTGTGTCTCGCAGCTGCGTCTCCGAATGCCCACAATTTGCTGCGTCATGCTACGCGGCGCTGTCCGAAATTGGCGCTCCTGCTCCTCAATCAGCGTCCATCTTTCCGCGGCGCACAGCAGCCCAGGCGCAACGCATGCTTGCGACAATTTCATCATGCGAAATAGCCGCAAGCGTCTGCCGCATGAAATACATTTGGAAACATGGGGAACAAAAACAACAGAACCTCGATACGCATACACCCCAAGAGGCCCCCAAGAGCACCCCGAAGGGACACCAACGGGCAATAATCACATTTGCCCCTAAGTCGCTGGGAAGATGTTGGCGTTCTCGCCTTGTCGACTTTCCGGTGCTCGAAGACAACCCATGAGGCCCCAAAAATCACACAAAAGGCCTCCAAGCTGACCTGGCACGACCCATCAGGGTCCCAAGACCGCCCAAAAAACCTCCAAGGCAGCCCAATAGGCCCCCAAGACGGCATCAAGAGGTAGCCCTGATGGGGGACCTGAACAAACATGTCGAGCCCTCGACCCGTCACGCTCCCAGGAAGCCCCAAGAGGCCCCCTAGAAGCCCCACAAGGGGCCCCAAGAGGCCAGTAAGAGACTCTAAGGAAGCCCCATGAGGCCCCCACGGGGCTCCCAAGAGGCCCCCGAGAGACTCCAAAGAGGCCCCCTAACTATTCCCAAAAGGCCCCCGAGAGCGGTCGTGCTCGTCGTCATCATTGTCGTCGTCGTCGTCTTCGCTGGCACCGCCGCCGCCGCCGCCGTCGGTGTCGTCGTCGTCGTCGCCGTCCTCGTCGTCGTCGCCGTCGTCGTCATCGTGGTCGTGGCGGTCGTCGTCGTCGTTCAGGGTCGGCGGCGCCGGACGCAGAGCCTTTCCGATACTCTTCAAAACATGAGAAGACGCCCCCCAACGGTAATTCCATTCGCATACTCAGTGTCTGTGATAATCATCCGCGGGCAGCTTTTTGCCCAAATATTTATCGGCCTCGCTGCGCTGAAGTACGCGCGCGTCATGCTCCCCACAATGTACATGCTTGGGTCTTGTAGGTGAACATCTCATCGCGACAATCTACCCACTATGCATTTTCTGGCCGCGTTTCTTGGCCACCGCCCCGACGTCGGCAATCATCCTGACGACATGTTTTTGCGCCCAAATAAAGGCAGCGCGTCATCTGCGAACCGCAAGGTAGTCAGCGGATCGGAGACACGGTCTCCTCGTTTTGACGCCCCTCACAGGTACGGACACCGTCTGCGACGTGAACAACCTCTTGCATATATTGATATACGGAATCGGCACGCCCTACTCTGCGAGGGCAACCCACAAAAGGCCGTACTCGACCGTAACGAAAACCTTCTCGGAACTTAGCACGCCGATCTATGAGTCCACATTGTGAGCGTCGCTCGCCTCAAACATGTGGGTCCTTGCAAACAGGTGGCCTGCGGCACGACAGTTTTTCCACATGCTGCTCGGTCCACTGGCGGACCACGAACAATGATGCTTCTCTCCCGGCCGCACCTCATGCGACCACAGAGTTTATAATCATTGATGGCGGTAGTGTAATTCGTTTGTCATCTGCGGGCAGGGCTGCGTCATACTCCCTGTGCGACATTGGCATGCGCAATGTTAACCAGCATTCAGGTCGTTTTGAAGGGTTTGGCACTTGCATTGAAAGCGTCCAGAATCAAAGTTCGTAGAGCCAATTGAATCCATCTTCGAAGAATATGCTAGCATTCTGTGGCCATCATCAGTTTTTCTCGCTTCATCTGCATGGTGGCTTCATTCAGCGCAGCAGCTGTAGCCGGATCGACAAGACAAACTCTGCGTGCCTCGTATAATCTTGCGCGGTCGCAGGCCCGGGTGCTCGCATATAGCTCCTCGTGAGATTTCGCAAACACTTCGGCTATGTTTGTTTTGTCACTGTGAACGGCGCCTTAGGCGGATTCCATCCCGACGGTGTGCGCCTTTTTTCTGTATGCTAATTATTGCAGCCAGCTCCCGCGGGCTCCGAGACTTGGAGCGCCGTGTGTAATTTTTGCCTGCCGAACTTTGGAGCGTCTAGCACGCATCGCTTCCCGAATTTGTTTGCCCCATTCATCTAGCCATCGTTTGTTTTTCTCTGGCAAGCTGGCGGTTTGCAGGTTTCGCCTCGTCTGGATCATGTTGCGCAGTCCCCTCTTCTGACCCGCCTACTGGCGAATGTGCAGCTGTTGCTCCGGAGTGAACCTTGTCCTCGCAGGCTGCACGAACCGCGCGCTTGTGCAGACCACGCGGCAGCTGAGATGACTGTCTCCAATCATCCCTAATGACTGCCCCCGGGCCCATGCTGCTGCTCCTTGTTCCCTTTTCCTGGACTTGTTGGTTGCGTTGCTTCGGCGGGAGGCGAGCTGCAGGCGCACCAGTCTAATGATCTGTACCGGCGAGAAACGAGGCATACGCAGTGAATGACGCTGTATATGAAAACGCACGCCTTTCTGGAAGGAAGTGATCCAGCTGGGAACGGTGCGCCCCCCCTGCACCTCGAAACGTCCCCTTTCACGACTCTTGCTGATAGGAATTCGGAACGGGCATGTCCCGCAAGGAACAGCACATAAATAACATATTACCTTTCTGACTGCGTCTCTGCATCGGGTTCTGCCACGTGACCGCGCATTTGTCACGGCGCCCGCGCGGTCCCATCTCAGCGCTGAAATGGCCAACTATACTGACGGAGCAACCCTTGAGAATTGCTCGCGCTTTTTTGTTCTCCATCTGGGCGCATGCCGATTCAATGTGCCCTTCCCGATTGGAATGGGGCGTGCGCACAACGATCAACCGGATGACGCCGACCACAGGGGCCGCCGCGTCCAGAATAACGAGTCTAGTGAAAATTGTTCGGGGACGCCTGTGCGATCACCGGCTATGGAGCAGAATACCGACTCCGCAAGTCAGGTTGATACCGCTGCTCCGAACCAATGATGGCCATGCGTCGCATCGCACGCCTCATTGGGGCACTCTCTCCACGTCTGTGCAAACATGATGATGTCCCATACTCCCCGTTCTCGAAACAAATCGAAGAATCTATATGGTGATCGAACTCGACAACATTTGTATCTGCCATGCTGCACTGGACCTTCGCCTGGCAGTAGCGTTTTGGATACCTACGACGGGTACCTGATAGCATCGCGGCTGGGCATTATATGCCCTATCTCCGAAATGCTTCCAACACGCCGTCCTCAACAACTTTTGCTGTGTCTGTGACACCGACTTCTTGAAACTTTTTTTCGTCGAGGTGAACTCGCCCCGCTTCTCCCGCCCCCCGCCACTCTCCAACCCTGACGCGCTTCAATATGAACGCGCCCTGGCGATATTCAGCTCGCACGTCTTCCGCGACTGCCCAACCCACTTCGATGATGACATTCTTGTACTTCCCCAGCGCGTGTCCTTTCGGCCGATCCTCGAGGCTCCTGTTGACAGGAATCAGCAAGGACTTGTACTGAAGGTGTGCTTCGGCTTGCCATTCGATTTCTGGAGATACTCATACATGTGCTTGGTGGTGTCGAAGCGCACGAAACCAACGCTCCCGAACGAGTACGGGTATACCTCGCTCCTGAAGGAGGAGGGGGAGGAGGAGGAGGAGGAGGAGGAGGAGGAGGAGGAGGAGGAGGAGGAGTACGAGGAACAGGAAGAAAGGGCAGAAGGAGCTGCGAGGGTGCACAAGGAGCTGGATCAGAGCAGAGGAACTGGAGAAGCATGAGCAGGAGGCGGAAAATGAACTGGGGAGCCGGAGCAGAAACAGCATGAATCTCAGAGGTAGTACGACGAGTAGCGGGGATGCGGAGGCAGAGGAATAGTAGAAGCGCTTGGTTACCACCTCCACGAAGTCCACTTGGGGAACATGTGGTTCAGCAAGATTGTTCTTCCGATCGCCTTCTTCCCCTTCGGGGAAGGGCCCAGCACTACTCCTTATGAAGAAACACCCCCTCCTTCACACAAAGAGCACGTTGCGGCGAACGCTGTGGCCTTGTAAGGCGCCCCGCGATCACTGTGTATTATATGCTAACGGGTACGGTGGTGGTCAAACGAGACGAGACCATGGGCTGCAGTGCGCGCCGGGGCGCGGCCCTGCTGAAAGCGCACCGGGGAGAGGGCGTGGTCCCTCATATATTAAGAAAGAGGGAAATAAAGAGAGAGAGAGAGAGAGAGAGAGAGAAACAGAGAGAGAGAGAGAAAGAGAGAGAGTGAGAAAGAGAGAGAGAGAGAGAGGTTCCAGAATGAGGCACTCGAATGCGGGAACCCTCTTCCAGTCAAAAGGGGCAACGTCGCCTCGCACATGCGGAATCTGATAACACGCGCTACCTTGGCCACAGTTTGAGCAGTC